AACCAAGTTTATGGTCTAAATTAATATTAATATTGGACTAACTTCTTAAAATGTTATATTGTTGGCTTTGGGCTGGTTCTTGCTTTTATCTGCTTTATACAGTCTCATAAACATTTAGTTTTGAAATTTAAAATTTTGCATTTTTAACAGATAGTGATGTTAACATTCATTATATTTGCTTATGTTTACATTAAACTATTCTTAAGAGTGGAAGAAATAATAAAGTAAAATATGTGTTATCAAGACACAAACAGCAACTATATTTAAAGGATGGAAAATTGTAACTGCACTATATGAACATTAAAACATCAGTCTCTTTCTCTAACAGCAATCCACACAAAATCATGTATTTCTTGCCAATGCAATTTGTACCTTCAAAAGTAGAACTTATCATATACACCAGCTCTTTTTTTAGGATTATTTTAATGCATTCCATATGCAAACATGCATTAAACATTCAGATGCACTTTGCAGAATAAAAGACATTGCGTTACTATTAGTATTATCTACTGGGTTAGAGAGAAGCTAACTTTTGCCTTTGGGTATATGGCAGGCAGAGTGGAGGAGGACAGTTTTATATTATCTCCAGTATTATATGACAAGATCTGAATTATTTTCAGTGAAGCGCTTCTGATAAACATTCATTTCTTCACATTCCAGGAAAGAGTTGCTTCTCTGTATACTAGTTTATTCATTCCTATTGGTGAACTAAATATGCTGCTTTTCATTTGAAATGAAATGTATTAAAGAATACAACACAGAGAAAATGTATTTAGGAATGTTACCTAATTAGTGTGCCCTAAATCTTCAAAGTACAGCTTCTGCAAATCAAATGCATCATTTTCCAAAATACAAACAAATATGGAATAAGGTTTTTAACACTCTCCTCTCAAGTCTGGTCAAGATGAGCTTTAGGTTTTGCTGACTATTGTTCAAACAGTCCTTTACAACCAGTCACATTACCCAGTCAGAAATAAACAACTGTGGTTTCCAAGCAGCTTGGTGCCCACCAAATTCTTGCATTATATATAATGTGATTTTTTTTGTAACCCTCCTTACAAAATGGATGCTATTAGCAATTATATTTTACTCAGCAGCTTAATATAGAATACATCTTAATCACCTGTCAGTATTTTAATTGCTTTTGTAGTAGAAAGAGTAATATTCAATATGAACACTTACAATACCTCTGTCAGGCAAAGTTCCTTATGTCAAATTTCCTGAAAATACTAGCTGAGTTATTAATTTACTAAATATTGGATTAGCTTTCCCTGGGGAGAAAAAAAGAGAACAATATGCCCTACAGGACGATTGGCTATTTAATTATTTCTGCTCTCTGTTGTTATATTGTATTTACATATTTACTGTTTTTATCGTAATACTGAACATCATACAGCAACTTTATCGTAATACTGAACATCATACAGCAACTTTGATGTAAAGGAATACATTTTACATTTAAACAAGAAAACTGAACAAATGTAGAAAATGATATTGTGCTGATAAAATATTAATGAGTATTCTTCTGGCTACTGTTGCCATAAAATGCCACAGCAGATGCATTTTCTAATCTGATCCAGGAAGGCAGACAGGTTCTGGGTCAGCAAAATGCAAACCGAGATTAAGTTTATTCTGTTTACGGAAGAGAAATGAAGAAAGAGAACTAGATTTCAATCCACCAAGTCCCCTTGCTGCTTATGAACAAAAATGTGAAAGCAAACTGTTTTTTTTTTTCTTATATGCTATTTTTGCATTTACAAGATTGTTCCTCTAAAACCCAGAAGATTGTTTCTGTGATTTAATCGCAGAAAATTTTAATTCACCTGGTATCAGTTCTTTGTTAGCTGTGGTGGTTAAAGTTCTATACATGGATTGGGAAGACCTAAGTCAAGTGCCCATTAAAGCACTGAGCCGTCCAGGGTCAGTGGACCAACCCCTCCCCCAAACCCAAAAGACTGTTGCTAGGGAAATAAAATTAGAGGATACTGACAAGAACGCTTGTCTCAAGATTATAGAGGGCAAATGTAAAACCATGTGTGCAGCGTCTATTTGAATTAAAAATTCAATTTTAAAAAATTAAAAATACTGTATAACCTTGAGATCAAGGTTTGCATTTATGGTTGTCCAGCATCCTGCGGTCACATTATTGCCATTTACACGCTTTGCAATTGGCTTGCAACAAGCAGAGTTAATTGAGAAGGCAGTAATAAAATCCTAAATTGAAGTCACATGATTTTCCACAGGGCTTAGGAATCAAATTGCTGGTTCCAATTATTGTTGCTAAGTGAAGACTACTTAATATCTTATCTCCTTATATGCCTGTGCTCCTAAGAGGCTCATGTCAATTTACAACATATATTGAAATCAACATAACGCAATAATAGAAAATAAAATAATATATTACACAACTAAATTAAAATCACAAAAGTTTTCTTCCAGTAAGGCTTTTAATATTAAATGTTTGATGGAATTGCTCCATTTTCTGAATATCTGGAATTGTGTTGCCATACAGATCTCTGAGAAAGGAAGTTCTAGGGATTCTGCCAAATCTCATAGTGGAGGTAACCTTCAACATTCTTACTCAGGAAGTGCTGATCAAGTGGCTAGGTTCTACCTGAAGTAGATGGCTCTGAGTAGGGCCATAGGAAGTAGCCATCACTGGCTTTAAATGGCAGGAAAAACTGGATAAACAAATCCCATTCTTTTTACATGTGTACTAGGCATATAATACACATTAAAAAGCACAAGGCTTTGAAGCCAGTAATTGTCAATATAGACACCCCTAGTCCTGAGACAGTGGATGCCAAACCACATAAAGCTTTATGAGTCAAAATCAGCATTCTGAATTGTACCCAGAAGTCAATTGGTAATCAATGCATAGCTTACAACGTTAGTTTTATGCTTATACAGCAGCTCTCACTCACTAGGTTTGGCTACTACATTATGAATTAATTTCAGTTTCTGAATAGTCTTCAAGAGACATATAGAGTAATATAGGTCTGCTTAATTATTTATGGTAAATAATGGATAAAAGATTTGTCGTCCAACAATAATCCTGGTACTTACAGACCAAATACTTTTGCCAGTCTGGGCACCTAGACTGGGACACTGAGCTAAAAGTAGTGACTAGAACCAATCTGTAAGGTGCCTTTCCCCTGGAACAATCTGCCCTATACATCTCCTTCTATAAGTCTCTTGAAAAATCTTCTTGTTATCCTCTATTTCCCAGATTTCTCATAGATCCCTTCTACAGCAGAGAAAACTGCCCTTATGCCCAAAGCACCTCTTCTCATCTATCCCATAATCCTGGTCCATTATCTAAGTAGACTAATCTACTCAAACAAGTCTACTCTACCCTCACTTCCCACAAACTTTTTCCCATTGTTTTTTGTCCACTAAATGCTTCTTCTACTAAATGCTTCTATTTTACACACATACTCCTCACCCTGCTTCCATCAGATCCCAAAGTGATATGATTATCCAATCTCTCTGTGCAGAATAGTGATTCCCATTCAGGTCTCCATTTATTTCTTCATCTTTGAAGAGCATTAATAGTGTTCTTCCATCTGTATATATTTTTCCTGATCATTACAGTCTATCTGAAGCCTGAGAGTCTTTCAGTCACCTGAGCTTCTCAGTAGGATCATAGCTGTTGGGGCAATTGATGTCAGGTGCCATTTGCTATGTCATTGGCTGCTGTAACTTAACAGGCCCAGCTAGAACCCATTGGTAATAGCAAGTGCAGAAAAAAAACTTTAACTTATTATAGAAAACTATAAATATCTGTGGAGTGATGGTCTTTCAAAATATGAAGACATGTTTACAATCTTGACAAATCAAAATTATGATATGAAATCCTGAAATATGAAAATAGATGTTAGTGTATTTGTGGACTCAGTGGGACTTACTTTTATATAGACATTATGAGTGTAATGAGGGAAATAGGGAGAGTAAATGTGTCTAGAATAAAATAGTCTCAAAGACAACTAGCTGGTGGAAAAAGAAAGAGGGAGAGAGGATTGGAAATAGTTATGCTTAAGAACTTCTGCTCAGACTATACTTTATAAAATGAATTAGCATGACTTAAATGAGTCAAACAAATGTGTATGCTAGGACATACTGTATTTACTCTTCCAATTTAACGCTAAACAGACTTTTGTAATACAAAATGAAGAAATAAACAGGATTTTCTAGTATACTATTTTGTAAACAACAAAAACCACTTCAATAAAACAAAACTACAAGCCTTCTGCATATTCAGAGTAGATCAGAAGCTATTTACATTTCTTTCCTGGATCTGAGACAGAATAGTACCAATATTTGGATCTTTCTTGCTTAACTGGCTTTTTACTAGAATAGAAGATGAAACGTCATGGCCAGCTTTCATTTCAAAATTCTGAAATGTATATGTGTACATATATTAAAATTATGAGGATTAGAACACTGGAGGAATAACTACAAAGCAGCTTGGTGAGCTTAGGAGACAACTCCTGATGAGCAGAAGAAAAATAATGAAAAGAATATATGCAAGAAGAAAAGAATAAAGATGAGTAAAGATGAACCATTGAAGTTGTAATGAAATAAAGTATTTTGTTTAATGTACAGAAGTACTATTAATCCTTGAAATACTGCATGTTACATTGGAAAAAGAAGTCACAGTTCTGAACCATATGTATTTAGTCTTGCTGAAATCCTCTTTCTTCACAGTACATTTCTAAATTAGTGATAGAAAAAATGCAAACTATAGCTAGTGTACGCTATCAGCATTCAAGTTAAAATACTTACTGCATATGAATATGTTAATGAAGGCATAATAAAGGTTAACTTTAGCATCACATGAAGCATACTATACCTGAAGCACACATTCATGCAAAATCTGTCAATCATTTCTTCAGTCTCACAAGAATCCAAAGTTATTGATATGGCTAACTCTTTAAATACAAATAATTTACAACTGAATAAAAGGTAGAAAGCAAAAATGGGATTTTGAGGTTACTTACCCACTCTTCCTCATCATATTCTGAGTGGTGAGGTATGGAATCCTGTCTCTTGATTTGTGATGGATGATCCTGATTTTCCTGTTCGCTATTCTCTTCAGTGCTATTCCTTGGCAAAGTTGGTTTTTTTAAGACACAACCAGGACGGGCTGTGTATAAAGCTAAAAGGGCACTTCTGATAAGCTGATCCTTAAAGGCATGCACAAATAACTCTGTCTAAAATTAAGATGAGTGTGCAATCAACAAAAGGTAGGCAATGCAGTCTCAAAACTAAGATAATAAAATATACTCTTCTGGCTCTCATGCCGACGCTATAAGGTTTGTTGAATCTGGATCTGTGCTGTGTGAACCCTGTCATTGTGGCTTATAAATCATGGCTCTAAACTTAAATGAGCTATGTGAACCAAGCCACTGTACACTGTTCCATAGCTAAGAAAGTTCACTTAATTTAAACACAATTTGGCAGGATACAAATAGAAATAGAACCTAGTCTGCAATTCATTTTTATTTATGTTAATTTCTGTTATGTATGAAAATTGGGGCTATTCATGCTTCAAGGCATGATTTAGAAGTGTTTTGGATCTCTCATCAGCATAGGACAACTCTGCTATTCATTACTAGCTTTGTTCAGACACTGAAAAAAAATGTGTTTGCTTTAACAGTTGCATTCACTTTAATGTCAACCTCCTAAAACAACTGAATTTTTTTCTCATGCTTGCATGGAAACCAGACATATGAGAGAACTGCAGTGCTGATCTTACATAAGGTCCAAAGTACTTCTTCAAAATCTTTTTCAAAGCTTGTACAACCCAATGGATATTATGAACGTTAAGACTAACATCTCTGTTTTTACATAAGAATAAACACTATCAAACTCAGTGAGGCTTATTTTGAATATTTATGTTATGGAGTCAATAAAACATCTTTTGTGTAGTCATTGTCAAAAAAGGCAAATATTTAGACTCATAAGGAGCTAAATGGAAGCAAAAGCATAACAAGACTGCATTTGAACTACAGTATACAGATAGTTTTCAACTTACCACTGTTTGTTTAATAACACTTTGAAATCATGATGGCCTCTGAAAAAGTGACAACCTGTTCTCAAAGTTATAGCCATTGCATTACCCCATAGTCGTATTATTACAATTTAGGTACTTGGTAACTGACTGCAACTGGTTGCAGTGTTTTGTGGTCAATGGGATCACAATTTGTGACCTTGCCAGCTGGCTTCCGACAAACAAAGTCATGTGATACACTTAACACCCATGAACCACATAACAAATGTGTAATACATTTAACATCCATGTGATTTGCATAATGACTCTAATAATTCACTTAACAACTGCAGTAAAATGGTTGTGAAATTAGGTCCAGTCATGTGATGGCTCCCTTAATAGCCACATTGCTTAGCAACCAGAATTCTACCTCAATTGTGGTAATAAGTGGAGGACTATCTGTATAGTTCTGGCTATTACATCTCAAAAATATTAAAAGGTTGCTGTAGAGCATGATAAATTGGAGGAAATAGCAACCAAAATCATATAAAAGTCCTTGAGAAGTTTCCTGGAAAAAAAACCCTGTACAGGTTGAGACTTTTAGTGTGCAGTTAAGTTTAACATAAATTTAATAATTAATCATAATGAAAACGTGAATGGGGGACATATTAAAAGTAGATAAAATGGTTGATATGGAAAATATAAATAGGAAAATTTTCTTCCTTATTTTACTCTAATAATTCAGAAATATTCATTGGAAATCTGTAGGAATTCATAACTAGTAAATGGAAACATTCCTTTACATAACACATAATTGATCTTTTAAAAAAATAATATACCATCAGATATATTAACTAATGGGGAATAGGCATGAGATTATCAATGACTGTTAGTCCAGGTGATTTTCATTATCTCAAATGCAAATTTATAATTTCATACCATTAAAATATGATGCATGTCATTATAAGTTACTGGCAAAGGAGTACATTAGAGGCTCTGCATTTTGTCTTTTCCTTATTCCAAAGACCAATAGACCAAAAGATGTCTGAATTTCAAAATGTCAAATTCTGTTTAGTGGATAAAGCAGAAAAGGCCAAGATTTGTTTAAAACAAAATATATGGGTATGCAATGTGCTTAACAATAAACGGTACTTCAAAGTTATAACAGGAGAGTTGAAAGTTTTTCTCCATCACAGTTTAATTTTCCTTTTTTATGATTATGCCACAATACGTCAGGCACAAATAAAATATATAAATTATAAAGATAGGGAGGAATACACTAATAATGATATATATAAAAATGAGAGTTCCCACTCTTCAAAAATAGTAATGATTTATTATTCATCAGTTGCTAATTTAAATGTAATATGATACAGACTTGTCTGTTTTATATTAAAAGCATCAAGTTTAATATCCATAAAATTGCTTAATAACAAATCCAAACAGGGAAGAGAAGAATATGATAATCATCTGAAGCTTGTAACCAAGTCAACCGTTCCTCATACAGATTCCACAGACCATAGCAATATCAGGGCATCTAATAATTTAGTTTCCACAGCAGGGATTATTTTTTAAAACTTACAGTTTCTGAAAGCATCTTTAAGGAATTCTTCAAGCTTTCCGGCAACTGTTGTCTGGCTGAATTAAGTAGCATGTCTGCATGAGTTGATATGAGAGGCTGTAATTGATTGATGTTACTGAGAACTTCTCTTGCCTTGGCAGTGTTTTCAGGTGAATAATAAATACATTGGTACCCAGTACTGCAAGGTAAGACATGACACCAAATAATTTATTATAAAGTCATAACCTATTTTCAGCTTTAATGGATAGATGGCTAATATTTTTTATGTACATAAAGGATTTCATCAGTTTTATAATGAATGTGGAAAGGTATTATAAAATGTATTGTCACACATTTATAGGCGTTCTTTTAAAACTCAATTTACTGAAGACTAGAAAATAGGCCTTGTAAAAGATGGTAACCTTTCGTTGATGAATGCTATAGACAGTGTTGCTGAAATTAATTATTCTCTGAAGTTTTCTGAATAAGCTGTTGTATATTGTATTATGAAATACATCAAAACAAAGCAGACACAAGCCCTATCTTTACAATTGTGAAGGAAACAGAGATTTATACAACCTCCAACAAAAACATTTGGTAATTTGTAATAGCCTTAAGGAAGATTCTTATTCTTGGCTTTTTTTTCCTCTATTGATGAGATACTTCATTCTTTGTGCTCAATTCCGTTTATTATTACTTGCTACATACAAAATTACTCTCAGTTAGCTTTTGGGTGATTTTGACTGTAAATCAAATAAATTAAATAGTAAATATTGAATAAAGAATACACAGGCTATTCTGTGTTTGGCTAAGACAGTCTTAAGCAAGGAAGTTAGAAATTAACAATTTTTATCATAATTAACGATTTCATCATTTTCTAACAAAGATCTATTATCATCTTGTTGTATGCTGCTCAGGATCATTTGTTTTGTGAGATGGGCAGCTATATAAATTTGAAAAATAAATAAAAATATGAAATTTGTTTTAGTGACATTGTTTGGATTCAAATGGTAGAGTTAAGCCATTATAGTTATAAAAGTTTTAAGATGTGAAAATGCTAGTAGTGGATAGAATGTGGTCTTTTAATAATGAATATATGCGTTTAAAGTGAGAAAAGAGATATAAGAGCATGCTTCTGCCTACTTTGTTATATGAGAAAGAGTTAGATATGTCAGGGGAAACTACAAAGTACATTGAACAGTTGGAATGAAGCTTTTGTGTGTGTCAAGGATCAAGAATGAATGTTAAGTGATCTGCTTAAGGAAACGTGGAGTGATCTAGTTATATCTAGATAATATATAAAGCCAAAATCGGAAAGCAAGTACTGTACATAAAATGTGACTAGGATGAGAGGAAAAAGAAGGAGAAAAAGGAAGACCAAGAACATGGTATTTGGATAGAACTGATGAGGTTCTTAACAAACAGAAATATAAGTTTTAAAAAAAAGATCTTGTATGAAGGATTATAAACACATGGTTGAAATATATCATTGACAGCAATGGAGGGTGTGGAGGTAACAATGAATGTGTTGTTTGTTATACATTAAATTGCCTGAATTTATTTACTTTTATTAACTCATGCCTTTAACTTTCTGGCTTACCATTTATGATTTTCTTTTTAAACTTTGTCTAATGATGCTTATAAATTCTTGCAAGTCAGCAAAAAGAAATGAAGTCTGTTAATTCTGATTTTGTGATAAAATATCAATAGGTTATCTAAAACCTATGTACCCTAACTGGGCCACCAAGTTATTACAATTAATACATTGTTACATACTATTCCAAATGTATTTTAGATATGCAGGATACAAGTTGTCATGTATTTAAATTTATTGGTGAGGCGAACTAAACTATCATTAAATCCAGAAAGTGGAGAGTTTAAAAGACAAAAGGACAAGTGATTTAACAAAGGTACTCTGAAACAATTGGAAAAGATAATAAATTGCAAGGTTATTGCATATTTTGCAGTAGCTAAAGCAGAAGATAACTGGAATGCCTTTTAAAATGCATTTATATCATTATCTATCTGTTTATCTTCTGTTCATCATCTATCTACTTAAATGAGAGTTTGTATATAGGACAGAATTAGTTACCTCTTATTTTATCCATAGTGTGGGCTATATTACGGCCAAATTTATCCATGAGGAATAGAATCTTACACCTGACCTAGTAACTTCATTACTACAATAGAATAAAAACAACTAGTGTATGGCATCAATTTTATAACCAAATCAGCAATGGTGGGAAATCATTTTGTATTAGTGGAAACATTCAGAATGTTCAGAGCATATTATCTAATTTGACTATTCACAAAATGATTATTATGATAGGCTGCGTGTTCAATGACAAAGTATGTTTAGCAGAAGGCAAATGAATATTGCCCATTAAGTCTTTAGCTGCACTATCTATGTTTTCTACCAATCTCAACTTAATTATTACATTTCTATGGGAGGCTCAGCTTTCTTATATGTTTAGGCACATTGATGAGCTCTTTATGAAGCCTAAAATCTTTTTTGAAATAAAAATGAGGATGAAACTCTGCCATTTCGATTTGCACATGCTACTTTTTCATTTTTAAATTAAAGTCACATATGAAAATGTATTTTTAAAGTAAAAATACCAGTCACATAAATTAGATAAAATAAAACTTTGGTCTTAAACCTCTTTAAACATTAATTAACTTTTGATCACTTATTATGCCATGAACAAAGCCCAGAATTCATCAGTATTAAGGAAAACAGTTGATTTTTGGCCTTATCAAAGATAAAGCATGTAAGATGTGAGATCCCTGTCTATGTGGATAATTCATAATGCATGAATTTCTTTATAAGCAGAATAGGAGAGAGAAATATAGGCTATTAACTCTACATCTCCTTATCCACATTGGCACAATAATTTTTGAATGGGATTATTCCAGTACTTGTAGAAGCAATGTACTGTACTGAGTCAAGACACAAGATACCTCAGATAATTTTATGTAAGAGATAAGAAGCAGGGCTATAAAGGTTAGAAACACCATCTTTGAGTCTTTTGAAGACCCAAGACTCAAATCGTGTTTCTAATAGTTCTTTCAGTATTATCAGATAGCAAAGTATAAATAAATTCTCAGGAAAACTGTAAGAATGGAACTTTATGATCAATGCTGTTCTCCCAGGAGATTACCAGACCTTCTCCTGCAAGAATATATTTTAACCAGCTGTTTAAATGATAGAGCCAAGTGGTCTCTAAGGCAACAAGCCCTATAATTAGATTGGGCAGAAAAACTGGAAGGTGACAGATGTCTTTAGGTCAGTTTGATGCACAATACATATCTATACAATGCAGAATAGAAAAATATCAAATAGAGACATTTAAAGGAACAAGATTACTCATTCCAATATAGGAAAACAAAAATATACATGAAAGTTTATAGTCACCATGGATAAAAATGTTGCATTTGTCAAGGGCAGATAAAAACATAGTAGCATTAATACAGAAAAGCAGTGCAGGGAAATATTTGATTAATGTTCAGCCTGAGAAAACTTGCTTAGGCTTAGAATAGTTTTCTTCAACCTAAATCTTTCCAAATGTACTGGACTTTCACTCCTGTAATTCCCAGATGATGAATTAGAAGGTTTTCCAAGAATTTCATTCAAACTTGTTCAAATGAAAATAAATATTCTCAATATTTATCAAATAACTTTAAATGTTTTTATTTCATTGCATTTTAATTAATTGATTAAATTAATATAAATGCATATTGCAAAGAGTTTAAAATCCATTTGCCTTTTGTCATACATAAATTACATGCATAATACAATCAGATATAACATATATTTGGGTCTAGAAATCATTCTTGTTACTATTAGTCCATTAAATCAAGAGTTTACTGTGCTGATTTACATAGTAAAAGGAGCACTAAAAACTGACATTCCTTGGACTAATTTGACTATACTTTTCTGGTTCCCTAAATCATGCTTCAACTATCTGGGAGCATGAGCATTTTCCTCCTCCTTCTCACTTCCTGCCTTTACTGGTCCACTAATTCTGGCTAAAGTAAATAATGGCCCGGTGCCTGGAGGCCGTACGGGTCTGGATGGGGAGAAACAGACTCAGGCTCAACCCTTCCGTCGCTGACTATAGGGGGCGAAATTTTGGCCCCCTCGGAGAGGGTGCGCAATCTGGGTGGCCTCCTGGACCCATGGCTGACACTAGAAGACCAGCTGACAGCCGTGGCCAGGGGGGCGTTCTACCGGGTATGCCTGGTTTACCAGTTGCGGCCTTTTCTGGACCGGGACGCCTTGCGCACAGTCACCCACGCTCTTGTCACCTCCCGCCTGGACTACTGCAATGCTCTCTACATGGGGCTCCCCTTGAGGAGCACCCGGAGGCTCCAGCTAGTCCAGAATGCAGCCGCGCGGGCGGTGANCCAGACAGTGCCGGCTGGTGACCCCCAGGGGGAGGGCCTTCTCTGTTGGAGCTCCCACCCTTTGGAACGAGCTACCCCCAGAGATCCGGGTGATTCCGGATCTCCCCTCCTTCCGCCGCGCCCTCAAGACATGGCTATTCAAGTTAGCAGGACTGGCCTAAGGGTTATTTTAATTTGGTTTTAAAATAATTTAAAAAAAAAAAAATTTCGAATTTTCGGTCTTAGAATAATGTTTTATTTTAATTAACATGTTAAGTTTGGTATTTTTGTATTTATGTATTTGTTTTTGAATGGTTGTAAGCCGCCCTGAGTCCGCAGGGAGAAGGGCGGGGTAGAAATATAATTAATAATAATAATAATAATAATAATAATAATAATAATAATAATAATAATAATAATTTAGTGTTATTTTTAAATAAAAGAATTTTGATTTCATGTGAACTATAAATCTAATAATCGCATTAGGAATAGGAAAGTGGGTCTTTCATGTGTGGTAAAATAGACTGGTTAAACAAAGCTGTGTACCTTAATTGAGCCGTTTGGTAATGGAAAGTCTGCTTCAATTTTTGTTTTTAATTTCCTATTATAATAATAGGTGTATAGGTGTATAGCAAATTAAATAGGTGTATAGGTGTATAGGTGTATAGCAAATTAAAATTGTTTTTTAAAAAAATAATCAACTATGTTTTAATTACTTTCATTTATTAAAATCATTCTACAAATGATTTAAACTTTAATCACGTTCTAGTGACTTTCTACTGATTTAGGAGGCCAATTGCAGTACTAAGTCATAACAGCTTGAGCCCAAATGAATGTTTTCTTCTTTGTTGACAGTTTTTGTTCTTCATTTTTGTAATAAGCCTTCAGGGACAGTTTGGATTCCTTTGGGTTTGTAATGGGGCATTGAAAAACCTCATATTTGCATTGCCTGCATAGTTTTCCTTCAGTACATCTCATCTGATTAGCTTTTGATTGAGAGGGAAAAGTCTTCAATGCACATTATTCTGAAAATGATTTATAGATCCTTGAAACCCCAAAATGCTGAATAAATTTATCTCACAAGCCTTCAACTATTATGATGCTGCATTATGTAGTTTTAAAAAATAATAATCTAAAATAATCGTTCTGTAGTGAAAACACAAATAATTCATTCTATTTGATGAAACATTCTATATGGTAGCAATACAAAATAAATTAAGATGAAGTCCAAACAGTTTATGTATGATTATGAAGTTTGTTGTCAAGAAAAATTAATGCTATAATAAATCAGTTGAATACTAACACATTATTACATTTTTTTCCACCAGGAATTCTATGTATTTTTTAAAAAAATGATCTATTTTTCTATATTAACTGTCTTTTTCTCTCTCCCCCCAATCAAAAATTCAGTATTATGTAAGATTAAAAATACTTCAGTTAAAAATATATTAGACGGCTATCTTTCAATCCATTAACTCTAGCTGAGGAATTGGTCTTTAGCTCTATGCACACATTTTAGAATGGCCTGATAAATAGAGTTTGACATTATGAAACTACATGAGAAAAGATTTGGATGAAAAAGCAAATGATCAATTTGGGACACATAAGATCTGTAAATAGTAGACAGATGCACTGAGAGAGAATATAAATGTATTAACTTCCTTGCTGCTGATTCTCCCAACAACGTTGGCATTCTACATGGACCATCCTTTGAAATCTGATCTTTTAAACCAAATTTCTTTTCATAAGGAAGTACTGTAGTATGCTGTTTTGGGGTGTCCTGTTTATGCATTTCTATTTTATTGATTTATATAATATAATTTATTGTTATCTGTCTATAGCCTTTTAGGATTGCCACAGGATAAGTACTGGAGAATAAATAATTTAATAAAATAATTTAATAAAAGCCTGCCAGATGACCTATTAACAATTTGTATCAAACATTTCTAAAACACCAAAAAGATTAAAACCTGCAATCCTAAAAGTTTTCACAAACAAATAAAACCTTTTCTTAAATAAATTTTCAGTCAAAAATTTAAAATGAGTATGTTGTATATGGAAGTCTAGGATGTTCATGCAGAGGTGAGGACACGCCTTTCTGTATATTCAAATCACTGTAAACTATGAACAGCTTTGGAAGAAGTGGATTGTCTAGACCCTTTTCAGCCATGACACAAAAACATAATTGGTCATTGAAACGGATGATTTATTATAATGCACCTTACATGATATTGAACTACATTCAAAGCTACCCTTGAATACTTCCTGGAAAATAAAATTAATACAAAATGCAGTGGCCTTAATGTTAACTGGGAGCCTCCAATACTGCCATGAAACTCAAATGTTGGCAGAACTGCATTGGGTGATGATTTGTTTCTGATATAATTCAAGATGATGGCACACACTTATAAATTCCTATAGAGCTTGAAGCCTGACTATCTTTGAAACTGCTTGCTTCAAGCAGAATCTACCTAGTCAAAATGTGCTAGTAATGTTCTTGCTGAGAGTCTCTGCATTACAAATGTGATTTGGCAGTGAGCATTTTCTACATGATGTCCTTTCTTGTGAATACTTTCCCACTAGATTTAAGAACTACAGTCTCAGTTTTACTGTGTAGCTCATACTGGAGAGACAGATTATTTTTATAAGATCATTTTAATTAGTCTTTCCCCTGAAATGAAATAGTTTGCCCTTTATGGTCTTGACAATAAAAACCTGTAATACGGCAGTCTTCTGACTGGCCCAGTTTATAGATAGTCTGGAATTGATCATACTAAATAGCTCTGTAAGAGGAGATGTAAATGGGGACTTAACCTTCTAGAGATCCAAAGGAGCAAGTGTGGTTGATTGTAAGGTCCATGTATTTATGCTCATCTAAAAATACTAACTAATACTATTAATACTCACAGTTCAAGGTTCATCAAAAATCTGTTTTATAGTTACAGGTTTGGTTTCTATGGGTGCCAGAGCCTGATTCTATTCTTATTTTCTGATTGAAATTTATTCTTTTCTTCTACACGTCTGGCTTTACTGGTTCTCAGAGACTGTTTTAAACCAATCTGGCTAAAAAAAGAAAATGGTAAATTCCAATCCTTAGAAGTTTCTTTGGAAAATCTCTGTCCATTAGGGCTTGAACATGCCAGGATCTAAACAATGCATCTGGGATATTGATTTTCAATCATTTTTAAGCCTAGTATCCAACCATACCATCTTCTCAAATAGGCATGTCTCATCATCATATCTCAATTCTAATTCTGAAATTCTGTTGGGGTTTCATCTTGGTCAAGATGGATGCCCTATTGTCTGCAGTTCTGGGGAGGGGGGTATAAGAACATCCCTTTTCAACAGTGCTTATGTCCATGTGGAAATGGCTTTGTAGAATTCCTAAGCCATATGTTCCTTTATTGCTTGATCTATAGGAATCAAGGAAAATATACATTCATCCCATTTTAAAGAACTATCCTAGTAAAGAGCACAATGCCCATCTGTTACTGCTATCTAACCAGGACCCTGACATCTGTTTCCAGGTTTTTGATCTTGTACTATGATAAATAGCATAAGTAACATTGATACGGTAATCATAAAGACAATGTGCCATATATCATCAAATAATAAAAAAACTGATCCTAGCTTCATATTATGCTCATACTGTACTTATAATTTTTGTACAATTAAGTATTGCTTTGTTATATATACATGTATGTTGCTGCTTAGTCAGGTAATCGTAGCATTTGAAATAAATAAAAGTTCATTTTCAATCTTATAAAACTAATACAGATGAACAGATTGGGTTTTATTTGGACCACATTTTAAGTGAACTAAACTAATTACATTCTGAGGCCACTATATGATTTAGAATATGGCTAATTTTCATGCAGTCTTCCAAATTCTGTAATATGGCATATGACTCAAATCTCATACATTGCATGATTTAACTTTGCACCCTGATGAATTTGTGACTGAAACAACTGAATGACGTACACTGGTTCACCCTCTCCCATTCATTTCTTCTTTTTCTAAGTACATGCTGTGATTTGTAATTGCTTTCTTAAGGTAACCTTTTAATGTTTATTTTTCATAGTTTTTCAGCTCCTTTTTTATAAAATTAGAAGAATGGAAATAACTTTATATAATTAGATAAATATGTTTAATTTTTTAAATAAAGACATATTAATAATGTGTTACTATATACTCACTTAGGAAAAGTAATAAAAAAGAGAATTAATAATGCTGATATCTTCATAATCTAGGAGAAAAATTGCTAGAAATGTTGATAGACAATACAAAATTAGTTACTGAGGGCTATTTCTAAATTGATAGCAGTGTACTTACTTTCGTCTTTCTGCCTCAAATTTATTCAATAATTTCTGAAGACCACCATTTTTAAATCCCTGAAAATGTGCTGCAGGAGCTCCCACAGTGATGACATCATAAAGAACATCTGCAACAGGAAGATTACATGCTAAATTGTACATATAAAGATACATTGTAATCGTATAGCGATAATAAGTAGTTTTAGTAGTCCTCACTAATACAAATGAATTTGCCTCTCCAAAATGAATTTCACCAATCATCAATTCCCAACTACTTGCAAATGACCAGGTTTACCATTCCAGGGTTCTTCTGAATTTTGGAAGCTTCTTTCCCTCCTGAAACCCTCTTTTATTGTCTCATCTGCTTAAATCTTAATGACTTCTTCAACATTGTTAAACTAAGTCAAGAGCTTACTGTACTATATTGGCCAAATCCATCTAGGAAATATTCTGAAGAGACATTCCTATGACAGGAAACAAAGAATCAAATATATTTCCTGCTTCTTCACCTAGTTATTGTGATCATGCTTTGTTAGTAAGAAAATATTTAGCAATTGGTTTTATCCTGGTAAGATACCATTACTGGATATGCCTCTTGCCAGTTTTAGAAATTTCATGAGAAATTTTTTTCCCCCTCGTAGTACTACATGGAATGATAACAGAAAATACAACTTTTTCAAACACAGTTATTAGCAATAACAATAGCACTTAGACTTATATACCGCTTTATAGTGCTTTACAGTACTCTCTGAATGGTTTTCAATATCAGCACATTGCCCCTCAAAATTTGGGTCTTCATTTTACCAACCTCGAAAAGATGGAAGGCTGAGTCAACCTTGAGCCAGTCAGGATCAAACTCCTGGCAGAGGGCAGAGTTAAGCCCGCAATACTGCATTTTAATCACTGCACTCAATTATTGGTTCCTTTTATTTTTGTAGTTATTTACTTAGGTACATATAATACATTTTTCTTCATTTTTTCAATAATTTTATTAAATATTACATTTATACAGATAAAATTAATACAATTACATACTACCGAAATATATTAAAAAAATAAAACTTAAGAAACTTAAATATTAAAAATATTAAAAAAATAAAACTTAAGAAAGAAAATATAAAAAGAGAAAGGTTAGAAAAAGCCTCTCCCTTCATCCACAACAAGTCTAATCAACATTACCAATTTATCACTCTCTTAAAATACAATCAAACATCTATTCATTCCATACCTTACATTCTCTATAAGCCCATCCCTAAAACCTCATCTCTACATATTAATCAGCAAAGGTCCACTAAGGGTTATCAAAAATACTATGTAAGTATTATAATTTTTATTTAATACGCTCAGTTTGAATCTTATTCATTTCTTTTTAAACATATTCTGTATTTCCTCAAATATGGGGTATGTTTAAATAGTCGAAGTTCAATTCCAATCAGAAAAACATTAAATATCACCAAAAATAGCAATGCATTATTTTAAAAGATTTTCAATCTTTAACAAGCAGTAAAAAAAGGAAATTCTAAAATGATTTTAAAAAATGAGGTTTGGTCAAACCTTGAGTCCATAAAAGGCTACGTCAATGGTTCTTGAGCTTGCTGAATGAGTCCCAACTGTTTACCAAGTTAGCAAAAATGTCAATTTCTGTACTGGCTCATAAAAAAATACCCAGTTGTGTTTTTACATATGGGTAACCTCAAGATTTCTCCTTGTTCCAGAGAGAATTTTTAATAGTTCAGGTGGAGTATAGATCTGCCTTTTGACCGTAATGTATCCCACTGAACATGGGACATCAATTCACCATTGGTCTATTATGTTTTTCTTCCTACTGTTTTAGGAATTTGCTTACTATTCATACATATAATATATTTTTTGCACAATCTTTTTGTATATTAAATTGCAAAACAAAGTTTGTATTAACACTGTATTAATATTCATGCAGTTGGTTTAATAGACTTCAGTTTAGTGAATTTTGGAAGCAGTGTATAAAAACTATTCATAATTCTATGAATGTATTAACATCATTTTATGCATGCATACATTTCAATTTGCCCTTTAATAAATGTTTGGGCATAGTGGACAATGCTTCAAGATAACAGTATACCTTTGATAGGATATAATTTCTATTTATATCATTGGGACCTAGAACTATCTATTTCAGAAACAATTTGAATATTTTTTGTTAAACGTTAAAACAGAAGAAAGATAGCCAGCTTCGTTACATAGTACTGCACCCAGATGTTCTGGCTGCAATAGGAAACGTCTTTGAGAATTAGACTCATCAATCCAATTCTTCATAAGAAAAGTTCCAGTAAAATAAACAATGGAATAAAAAATAAACATATACAGAATTTAGTGAATTTCAGCCTTCTTAGATATGACATGCAAACTGCATTACATCGTAAGATGTTCATTACAGTAAATTAGATCAGCAATGAAAACTCAAGGATAAGACATAAGGTAAATAAAACAAAGAATTCACAATGCAAACAGATGTTTGGTACGCAAACGTCTTAGCAACTTAGACTTTAGAAATTCTACTACAACTGACTTGTCTCAATGTTCACTAATACAATTTAATTTTAATCTGTTTACTTTGTTGATATTAATACTTTTAGATACTTTACTTACTTTGTTGTAATTTTAGATATTATATTTAATATAATTTTAGTCCTTACATTATAATTTAATATAGGCTGCACCCTGGAGCTTACAGATATTAGTTATGTTATTTTACAAATGTATTTTAACTCTGTCTTAAATTTTATTTCATTATCTGTACTGATCTATGAATGCAATAAATTGAATTGAAATCAGTTTCTGTTTAGTAGTATAAACAATGGCACAACTCTTGGATACTTGATTAAAAATGTCTAGATAGCCAATGTAAAGGATCTGCTATTGCCCCATAGTTGTATTTGCATGTTGAATTTATAATCTTTAAACAGAGGCATTAGGAATTTGTCAGATAACCCATTAACCTGCAGCTTTTCTACCAGATAATTTATATTGATGTTATTTACAGTAATTTATTTTAGTTTTAATTTTTTCCTTAAATTTTATCCTTCCTTATATGAGTTTGTAATTTATTTTTGGTCTTTGGAAATAAATAAAGGTAATATAATATTAAGATTTTTTCCATGTTTTGTTATTTTTTTAAATGTACATGCTATCCAATTATTCCAATTCCAGACAGCTTACAATAACAATAAACATACCTATTGTAAGAAAAACAACACACAACTATAATAAACCTCCATGAGCTACATAATTATAAATCCTCCAGTTGAATGAATAATTATCTGCCAAAAGTAATTTCAACTAAACTTCTTAACTTTTTAACTTTTTAAGTTTGGATATATATATATTTAAGCAAATTTAAAAATATACATCCAAATCAAGCCTTAGCTGAAATTACTTTTGGCATGTATCTGGAAAATGAATAAATATATATATAAATATAAATGAAATATAAAATATTAATGTACAACTTTTATATATAGTGAGAAAAAAACAGAATTACTTGTTTTTTAAAAAGGAGCACAAATTTATATGCAGTTCTGTACATTTCAACAGCGGAAACACCCAAGTCTAAAAGTGGAACCAACAGAGAAGAAAGAAAAAGATATTTCATGATTGAAGTTAAATTATAGGTAGTCCTCGACTTACGACCATAATTGAGCCCAAAATTTCTGTTCTTAAGTGAGAATTTGTTAAGTGAGTTTTGCCCCATTATATAACATTTCTTGCCACAGTTATTAAGTGAATCACTGCAGCTGTTAAGTTAGCAACACAGTTGTTAAGTGAACTTGGCTTCTTCATTGACTTTGCTTGTCACAAGGTTGTAAAAATGATCACGACTCCGGGATGCTGCAACGGTCTTTAGTATGAACCAGTTGCCAAGCATCTGAATTTTGATCACATGATCATGTGGATGCCACAAAGGTTGTAACTGTGAAAGTAGTCATAAGTCACTTTTTTCAGTGCCATTGTAACTTTGAACAGTCACTAAATGAACTTTTATAAGTCAAGGACTAGCTGTACTAGGTAGTGAACTGTATAACATCATACAGCTTACCTTTTATACAAGGGCCCTGCACAAGCATTCTTTGCAGATGTAGATTTATTGGAACAAATTCTAGTGTTTTTTCTCCTTTACTGCAACTTGATTTGAAAGAAGAACCTGAAAAAAAATGATAAAATATCCTTAACTGAGGATCCAAATGTTTTCTCTTTCTTAAAATCTAAGAAAATACTTCTGTGTCTGTAACATTTTTGGGTGTGAAAAATCTTTATGCTGCAGTTTCAGAATGGCCCCCATGAAATCTAAGGAAAAGAGAGCTACTTTAAAAAATTGCTAACAACTCTATATGACAGTTCCATGCTCCTTGCCACAATTTTCCTTTTTTAATCTAAATACTGCTCTATTTTCAATTTGTAAGAATTCACACCATAGGAATTCTGTGATGTCCAAATCCAAAATATGTACAAGATACGATTTGGATAGGAGAAGTGTAAAGGAGAAATTTAGGAAATATAAAGGAAACTTTCCTAATATCATTAAATTCAAGACTATTCGCACTATTGTAACCAAAGGATTATCTCTTTGTAATTGGTATACAAATTCAGAGGACTAACCACCCACTTATTAATACCTATCAAACAAATTATTAAGGCCGTAAAACAGCATATTCAATTAATAGATGATTTTACTGACAATGGTGATGCATTTATTGTATATATTTACTAAAAATAAAGAACTTTGTGGCATCTTAAAGATGTACATTCTCCTCTTATGGAAAGAGGTATCCATAAACAGTAAGGCTAGAAGTAAATGAAGGAACAATAACCTTTGCAGCAAAACCCCCACATGTTCTCAGCTAGAAATGAAGGCATCTAAACAACCATTGCAGCAACCATGGAAAAAAGTCTGTAACATTATTCTCATTTTAAAGTCAAGCACTGAAGTCAGTATTTATTCAACAGTAAAGACTGGGCTTTCAGCGATCAATGCCCATTTCTTAGCCCATGTTCTAGAATTTTCAGCGCAAAAAATCTGCAAAAAAACTGGTCAATACCTCTCTATTGCTCTCCTCAACTACGGAGAACTCAGCTACTATATATGTACAGCAAACCTGAGCTAATTCTGTTCTAAGACATAATTGAAATTAATTATAAGTATTTTGAAAATCTTGATATAGAAGGGACAAGACCAGATAAATAGCTTGCTTATTCTGTATAGCAAGTTCATAATAGAAAACTGGAACATATTTTCAATTACCATAATTTTCAGTGCAGACTTCAGTCAAGAATAATAGAGTCACACGCAGCAACAATAACACTTAATATGACTAGGCTAAGGCATATATTCTTTGCTTAATTTTATCTATTAAGTCCTCCAAGTTCATATGTGGGCATTGTGATCCTTCTTTCTTCTCTTCACGCCACTCAACACAAAGCCTATATATGGTTCCCAAATTTAGAATTAATCAAGGTTTTTAGCAATTATTGGAATTTATCTCTGATTCCAGTTTGTTCGGAATCATAGATTCCAATATTAAATAGTAAACAGCTGTTATATAGCATTTCCATTTTGTACATCATAATTAGTGCAAAAATTATTCAATTAACTTTAGGCATGCTCCAATATCAGCTTATTCAGATAAAGAACATAAACTTGAATTGAGTATAGTTTTCACATTCCCAGAGCTATTTCTATTTTTTTGACATAGAAACAAGCATAAAAGCCCACATAATATTTACCAACCATAGGCAGGCTATTATACTTTACATTTTGTACATGTAAAATGATTCATATAATGAAAAATAGTAGTTTGCATGATTTTACATATGTCTGGAAAGCAGTTTTCCATAAAAACCCAAATAAGAACTGTGTAAACAGTGTAAACTTAAAGATATACACCTTTATGTGCACATGCTTGTCTGCGTTTAAAGCTTTTGAAATGAAGCCAGTTACCACAATTTTAATTATATAGTCAGCAAATTCACAGAGAACAATTTTAAGTTTGTAATAATTAACTTGGATAGCACAAATCTTAATTTCAGCTTTTCAAGCTATTTAGAAAAATTAAAACATTTTGGACCTATATGTTCAGTCCAAACATATTTAATTTCTAATTCTGTTCAAGCAGGAAACCCTATACCATTTCAGACAAGTAACTAAAGAGTGGGGGCCATCATCACCTCTGGGGCAAGATATTCAATGGCAGGTGCAGCAGCAAAGAAGGCCCCACCAGCTAAAATACTTTAACCAAAAGGTTCTGTAACATATCCTCCCTGTTTGACATCACACCACGTTGCCCGAAATTAAACATGTAACTCCCTTCAATGTACAGGGTTTTCCTTTATGATTCTTTTCAAATAGCAGCTACAGTATGTGGGTAAAAGCATCAAGATTACTAGTGCAAAGTGAAAAGATAATTCTTTCTCTGGTGCTATGAACTTGATGAAAATCACATTTCCTTAAAACAAGTTTCCATCCAAACAGGGGAGTGACCTTTCTTCAATAGCAGCTTGTTTTTCATTATCAACAGTAGCATCAGAATAAATGTATAAATGTGGGTAATTTTATAAAATGAAAATAAATATATCAAGCAAAAATTAAAACTGTATGGTAGAAATTAACCAGAAAAATAAAAAGACTAATTTAAAAGACTGGAGAACAAAACAGGCATTTTCTATACCTAAAAGGAAACAATGTTACTAGCAGATGAATCTTGTATGGCCTGCTGGAAAAATAATCTTTGTGACTGTCAGCTATTTTATATACCAACAAAAAAAAGAAAGAATCTGGCTTAAAAAACAAAACAACTGCAGCTATTTTATCATGCTAAGAACAGGAGGAAAGGAAATGAACAAGATATAGGGCACTATAAATGGCAATCCTGCACATTAAAACCTATCAGAGATATAAAATCAGAATCATCCTTTATATGGGAACAATATTGGATAGCTTCCATATATAACGAAAACATACTTAGAAATGTACATAAAGGATGGTCTAAATAATTGATAAGATGGAGAGATCTTATGCACGATTTGTACAAAATATCATGCCCAGACCATGAAACGGATTAGATTCTTGTTATCATCTGGGCCAGTGTTTCTCAACCCTGGCAATTTTAAAATGTGTAGACAAATTCACAATTCTAGGAGTTGAAGTTTATACATCTTAAAAACATTGATTGGACTTTCGGTTTTGCGTAGTACCCCACAGCTGGTTTAGCCCTGCCAGGGGACCCTAAATGAATCTAAGTCACCCCAGAGAGGCGACGAAGAAGGAGCCTCCCCGTGGATCACTGAAAGACAGCAATCAATCCGTTTGATCTGGGGGAAGCACTCCAACCCGACAAGGGTGAGATCATTCGAGGCTTTGGGGTGGAGTTCCATCAGTACGCTGATGATACTCAGCTGTACATCTCCACCCCGGGTCACCCCAACGATGCCCTTGACGTGATGGCCCGTTGCCTGGAGGCCGTACGGGTCTGGATGGGAAGGAACAGACTCAGACTCAACCCTTCCAAGACCGAGTGGCTGTGGCTGCCGGCGCCC